TTTTTTTATGTTGAGCCAAACTTGCATCCCTGGGATGAACCCTACTTAATCCTGGTGCACTATCTTTTTAATGCAATTTGGCAGAATTTTATTGTAATTCTATTTAAATAAAATTCAAGGGCATGTATAACGGGACTGTTAGAGTTTAGAAATCTAAAACATGTAGGTGAATGAAGAAAAAAAAAACCACAATGATAAGTCTACATTAAAAATCAGGAGAATGATTCTCCATGGTAGAGGGAGGGGGACAAGAAAAATTTAAAAGAAAAAATACAAGAGCTCTTGGTGATGCTCAGTTTCTCTTTCTGAACTTGAGTTTTGGGCATGTGGATACTAGCCTACTACTTATCATAGCATGATAGATAGAAAGATAGATGATAGATAGATAGATAGATAATATAATTTTCACAATGAATATCAATTGTGTTTCTTCATTCAAATTTATTTGGTGTTTAGATATCTAGATTATTTATCTTGTGCCATTATAAAAAGTAAAAAAAAAAAAAAACTGTTTACAGGGAAAACAGTACACTCTATTTATGACTCCTTCTCATAAAAGAAGTGAATTTTTTGTAGACCATCAGTAATCTCTGAACATGATCCAAATAGTAACTAACCATTAAATTTGACCAGACCGCAGGTATAGTTCTGCAAGAAGTGCACAGAGTGATGTCTCTCCTGTGTTGAGTTTCCTTCTTCACAGTGCAGGGTGCTGTCTATAGTGACTTTCCTTTGTGCTTGGTGCCCTAGTGGTCCACGCTCATCCATGTGAGCCATTGGCAGTTTGGAACACTCCCCAGGTCACTGCAGTAGTAGCCTACTGGAAATCCACTGGTGCCAGGGCTCTCATATTCACTGGCCCATGATGGTAATACACTCTGGCTTTTATAGCTGTGCAAAAGAGTACTGTCATAGCTCTTAAATTTATACTAAATTATTTCTTCTAGGAATCAAAAAGCCAAACTTCTATTTCTTTTTTTTTTGCACACTATCTTTCTTGCATGTGAAATATCTCCACATTCAGAAAAATATATTTATTTATCTATGTCATATTCTCCATGTTACCAACATGTGCCTTGAAAATAAAACCCAGTAAAACAGGTGTTTGCCATGCAAGCTAACATGACAAAAATATGCCAAGGGGCTTATTCCTTAAAGGGTTGAATTAAGACATAATGAAGATACATCGAAATGCCGTCACAGAGATACCCACTAGTCTCTGTTTCTTGACACACAGAGGACCACCTGATTGGTAACAGTGTTCCTCAGTTTAAGAACAGCAATCACCTGGCCATTAGCAATCACAGTCTTGTCCCCTTTGARCTTTGACTCGATCCAAAATTTAGCAAGGAGTACACAGAATGATGTCTCATTTGCTTTAAACTTCCTCCTAAGAAAAATCCAATGTGCTAWCTATAGTAACTTCCCATGTGCTTCATGCTTCATCCATGTTAATTGGTTCATTCCCATCCATGTGAGTCTGTTGGTTTTGGTATTAGAGTAATCTAAAATAGTGAAGAAAATAATCAGCATTTCAATCTGAATTGCTCAAAGTTCAGTGTTTCCAATTCAGGATCATTTGCTCTATTATTTATGTAATTATCCTTGCAACTTCTCAATTGAATTTGGTACAAATGCATCTRATACAATTTAAGGAGCTGGACCTCAAGCTTTGCCACCCATCAGGAGAACCCAAGGAGCATGAAAACTTCCAATGCCCAGACCCTGCCCTGCCCCAGAGCAATTAAATCAGAGTTGTTCTGCAAGGGGCAGCAGATTGTCTATAGAAAGAGAGTGATCTGTAATGAGAATGGACTCTGTCTTTTTTAGMTGTAGTGAAGCTTTTCTTAGCCCCTCCAAGTTTATATAGAAACCTCTCCCCTAACAATAAAAAAGTCTTTCTCTCTCTCTCCCTCTATCTTTCTCACTCTCTCCCCCCACTTCAACAAATCCAGTGAAAATCTCCCCAGTCTAGACATAAAATTGTTTAAATCTTTCATGTTCTTTAGCTTTACAGACACAAGTCTATAAAATAGGAACAAGTAAATCAAGTTTTTGCTAATAAGTTAATGTGATTTAAATGTTACAAGGTTTTCTGCYTTTAAATGCTCTTAATTAAGACATTTCAGGATTCACAGGGTTACGGATGAGTCTCTGTCTGATCCCAYAGGGGACCAGCTGACAGGTGAAAAACACTGTTCATTTTTGAAATATTAGTCACCTAGCCAATGACACAGGCATGTTTGCTGTAGCTGCCCAGCTGTGTCCAGCTGCTGCAGGCTTAGCACTACTGTCCACATGCTGCCTTGAACCCTTCACTCTGTCTCTGCTCCAACCAATGAGCTCATGTCCTTTGATCTAGGTAACTGTTCTCTATCCTTGTTTTTGTTTTGTTTTGCTTTAAATAAAGACCTAAATTCCAGCAGATCTGGATGCCAAGGCAGGAGGATCACAGGTTTGAGRCCTGCCTCAGCAACTGGGTGATATCTTATCTCAAAATAAAAAATAAAAAGGGCTGGGGATGTGACTCAGTGGTAAAGCATGTCTGGATTCAATCCCTAGTACCACCCCCCCACCCCCAGTAAAATAAAATACCTAAAGAGTGACGTCTAATCACATGTGAAAAATGAAGCAGGGGCTCAGTCTATACACTTCATTGACTGAGCCTGGAGTAGTCAGGTGGGATGTAAATGAGAGTAAAAGGCATGTTTTATTTGAACTCTCTTGATGCTGTGACCAAAAGACCCAATAAGAACAGTTTTAGAGAAGGAAAAGTTTACTTGGGGTTCACAGCTTCAGAAGTCTCAGTGACTCCATTCCTTGGGGCCCAGGGGAGGCAGGACATCAGAGCAGAAGGGTGTGGCAGAGGAAAGCAGCTCAGGACATGGCACCAGGAAGGAGAGAGAGAGAGAGAGAGAGAGAGAGAGAGAGAGAGAGAGAGAGAGAGAGAGAGAGAGAGATCCACAAAACAAGGACAAGATATAAGCCCCAAGGCACAACCTTAGTGACCTGTCTCCTCCAACCAAAACCTACCTGCCTTTAGTTACYACCCATTTAATTCACCCATTCAAGTGGACTGATGCACAGATCACGTTAAGACTTTCATAAYTCAGTCATTTTACCTCTGAACTTTCTTGCATTGTCTCACACATGAGCTTTGCAGGGGTSGGGGGGACACCTTATATCTAAACCATAGCAAGGCAGTAACACTGGGTCATCCTGTTTGGTTTGGCAGGTAAATATTAGAAATTGTGGATAGGTATCAAAAAAAGAGAGGTGGTCAAGACAGAAGGAAAATATACCCCCAGTACATTATGGCAGAACTAAGCTCTGCAGCCAACATCCCCAAAGAGGCCCTAAAAATGATTTCAAGGTTTATTTCTGGTAAAAAAATAAAATAWAATAAAATTTKATCCTTTGCTTTTACACCTTGAAACAGTTCAGGATTCCCATAAATTGTCTAGAAAATGGATTATGATTACAGTAGAGAAGGGGATGTGTCCAAATGGACTTKAATTTGAGCAAATGATCTGCATTTCACATTCAAGTCTTGGATCATCAGACCTTTTATGAATGAACCATCCAACTCAAGCATAAGTTACCCTCTTGGATCACCAGAAAGAACTATGGGCCTATATGAATCATTATCACCCAAGAGTAGTCATGATATACTAGACAAAATGAGAATGAAGCATACAGGACCAGGGGGCAGAATGTCATATGACACCTGTGGTTGAAGAAGCTATAGAAAGAAAGTTCTGGAAGAGCGGATAGATGAATCAGAAAAAGGAAATCATGTTTTCAATGCATCTTGAAAATTTAATGAGGAAATCAATCTTGTCTAATTTGATAATCACTTAAAAAAAAAACAATAACAAGGAAAGGGATGTTGCAGGTGAAGACAGCGGCCCCTTAGCAGGGTATAAAAGGGGATATAGGACCAACAAACTTCCAAACCTTCCAAACCCATCTTCCTGGAAACACCCCCAGAACCTCCAGTCTCTGACACCATGTGCAACTCCTCTTGTGGCTCCTGCTGCTCTGGCCAGGGCTGTGGCTGCTGCCAGCCCAGGTGCTGCCAGACCACCTGCTGCAGGACCACCTGTTGCAGCCCCTGCTGTGGTGGCTCCAGTGGCTGTGGAGGTTCCAGTGGCTGTGGCTCCTGCTGCTGTCGCCCCACCTGCTGCCAGACCACCTGCTGCAGGACCACCTGCTGCCGCCCCAGCTGTTGCAGCCCCTGCTGTGGTGGCTCCAGTGGCTGTGGAGGTTCCAGTGGCTGTGGCTCCTGCTGCTGTCGCCCCACCTGCCTCCAGACCACCTGCTGCAGGACCACCTGCTGCCGCCCCAGCTGCTGTGGTGGGTGCAGTGGCTGTGGCTCCAGTGGCTGTGGCTCCAGCTGCTGCCACCCCACCTGTCTCCAGACCACCTGCTGCAGGACCACCTGCTGCGGGACCACCTGCTGCCGCCCCAGCTGCTGTGGCTCAAGTTGCTGTAGCCCCTGCTGTGGTGGCTCCAGCTGCTGTGGCTCCAGTGGCTGTGGCTCTTGCTGCTGTCGCCCCACTTGCTGCCAGACCACCTGCTGCCGCCCCAGCTGCTATGTGTCCAGCTGCTGCCGCCCAAGCTGTTGCTAACCCTCCTGCCGCTGTCCAGCCTGCTCTAGTGGATCTTGCTGCTGAGTGCTCTAACCTGCACTCTCCTGCCTACTTCAGCCAATGTTCTTGACGTGGTCTATCTGCGAGAGCCCAGTCATGAGAGGTCAAGGCCCAGCTGAGACCGATTTGGATCTGCAAACTACTCCCCTCTTCCCTACAGGTTACTGTCTCTCTCAACTGAACACAAGTTTGAATTTTCTCTAAAACCTGTCAACTATCATGTCATCCCTCTGGAAATGTTTGTCCTCTGCCATGTTTTCTCATATGAAGATATTCTTGCATCTTAWATAAATCTGAATTTTGCAGCCATACAAAAATAAGGGCATCGTGTCTCCTTATTTTTCCTCTTCAATTATCATTCTTACTGTCTATTTTTCTGTAATTCATTTCTAAGGAATGGGATCCTAGAAAATAATTTGAGGTGCTCAGTCTCTGTTCTGTGAGCATTCCTGATGCAGAGAGATGCTTTCAAGACCAAAACCTGGATCTCCTGCCTAAGGACTTTCTCTGGATGCAGAGCAAGCTCTGGGCAGAAGGGTGAAGAACTTCTAGGAACAGAATTCAACCAGTGAGTGGTACACAGATACTCTAGTGAAATTTCCCTTGAGTGAGTCCTTCCAGGCCTCCAAAGGTCCTCCGTGGGACTGGACCTTAGCTGCCCCCAGGAGTGTTCTGCTCATTATGTTACTCTCTACGGCCTTCTCTCACTGGCCAGGATCAATTCCCAAATTCCCTCCAGTGTCTCCTGGCCTTATCTACCAAGTATCTACTAATTGCCCTCAATTCTCTGTATGATGGGCTTTTCCAGGGGGCACCCAGTCTAAGACACTCATGTTCCTAATCTCAGCACTGGTGGTCTTCAAAACATTTTTCATGCAATCTGGCCTCACTACCCAATTGTTTTATTTCCTGTTTTCTAGGTTTGCAAACATAAATCATAAAATAAGAACAAGTAAACCAAGTGTTTGCTAGGAATGTTCATGTGATAAAAATGTCACAAGGGGGTTTTCTCTTTAAATTGTTCTAATTAATTTAAAGATGTCATTGTAGGATGAAAAATTTGTCTCTGGACAAATTCCTTGGACTTTCCTACTTTTTTGTATTGAGAGAGTCCTGATTTCCGGGAACTCCGTAAGTCCTAGATAATCAGTTCAGTTGATCACCATATGATCGAATTTGTTAGGAATCATTAAAATGAAATCTTGGTGTTCATTAGTATTGCTTGAATRAACTGGTGAGTTCTCCACCAATACAGAAACTCTCCCAGACATATGCCAATCTATAAAGACAGAAAAGAAATGATCCTCCGTATAATTTACTTCAATTCTAGAACAAAACTAAATTATGAAGAAAAAGTATTAGAGCTTACTGAAGTGACATTTGGAAGACTTCTAGAGTCATGTAAAATGTTCTCCATCTTGATCAGTGTGAAAGTTACACTGATGCATTCATTTATCAAAACCAAATAGTTCACATTAGGAGTTGGAAATGTAGCTCAGTGGCAGAGCACTTGCCTCGCAGATACCTGGTCCTGTATTCCATCCCCATACCACAAAAAAACAAACAGCAAGAACAGCAGTACACTCAGAAGTTGTAYACTTCACCGTATGTAAATTTTATTTAATCATACAACATTAAAAATGAAAAGAAATATTAATTTTGGARTATGTCTACCAAATTGCATGTTAGCTAATTTGCTCTAAGCAAAACTATTTTCGTGAAATAACACTGTCATGAGCTCTTTGATGTTACTTCACCATACACTATTACAATTATGTGTGTGTGGTCCTCCCCGTACACTGTGAATTCCCATGGGAGGAGACTCTAAATCATATTTCTAACACCAATATGTGCCTCACAGATGATCTATTCAACCAATTTATTTTAGAAACAAGGCAGGAACTTGATCTAGGTGGTTTATTGCAAAGCTTTGATGGACAGTGTGAGCTATAGTCTAAGCCTGGACCTTGAATCTTCAGGTTTTTTGTTGTTTGTTTTGGTACCGGGGATTGGCCCCAAGGGTGTTTAACCACTGAACCACATCTCCAGCCCTTTCTTGCATTTTATTTAGAGACAGGGTCTCGCTGAGTTGTTAAGAGTGCCTCRCTAAGTTCATAAGGCTGGCTTTGAACTCTCAATCCTCTTGCCTCCACCTCCAGAGTCACTGGGATTTTAGGTGTGCACCACAGTGCCCAGCGGGTCTTTAGTATTAACAGCATTTGGGCACTTGCTAAAAAGCAGGGCCTGAGCCTCCTCCCAACAATCAGAAATTCTGGGAGTCAGCCCTGCACTCTGTATTTCATATGCCCTCTGGATGATTTTGATACATGTGCAAGTTAAAACTATCACTCAATAGAGGATAMGTGAAATTATAATACAATAAGGTGAAATTTGCTAAAATTCACTGAGATTTTAGATTGACTCAAAAAAACCTTGTGTCATGGGTTTCTCAGAAGTAAGAAGTTGCTCTGGAAGTAAGTTCCGAAGAGATGAATATTCAAAATACTTTCCTCCACTGAWGAAATGAAAATTAACGGAGAAATAAAAATGAGGCTGTGTGTTCCAGAATTTAAGAGAGCAGCTGGAGAGACATGTAGACATATAAGACCTCAAAGCAGAAATTTAAGAAACTGTGACACTAACCACACAGAGAAATTGCCTGTCAGCACTGAAGGCTGTAGCGCATGATCTGAAGTCTGAAACATCTGGAGAAACCCATTCCAGGGGTGCAGAGGTCACCAGCATCACACCTACCTGGAGCAGTCCCCTTCCTCATTGCTGAACAGTGACCCACCTAGAGGGCCTTTACCTCTGGTCCCAGCAGATGACATATGAAGCCGATGGGCTTCCTCTCCATCAGTGGAAGAAATGCACAACTGAAAGTGTGACTGACCGACTCCCATGGTGACAAGGGATTCTGGAGGAGAGAGTGAAGAGTGTCATTCCAGACSCACAGCGGCAGGTGCCAGCCCTCGGTGGGGGAGTTGAAGAGACTGTGGTCTGGAAGATGTCAACAAGTGGGGTCCAAAGGAAAAACAGATGGGTAGAGTTTGTTACTACCCGACAGAAAATTGTGTTCCTAACAAATTAAGCCATTAAATAGACAAACATCGTTATGTAATCRGATAATTACTTGGCTATTCAGGAAATGAAAAACAAGGAAACTACATCAACAACAGGAAAGCGGGCCGTATATAAGAGGCAGTGGCACGAGAGAACTTCTAAACTCCAGAACTTCACCCTCCTGGAAACCCACCCAGAACCTCCAGTCTCTGACACCATGTGCAACTCCTCTTGTGGCTCCTGTTGCTCTGGCCAGGGCTATGGCTGTTGCCAGCCCAGGTGCTGCCAGACCACCTGCTGCAGGACCACCTGCTGCCGCCCCAGCTGCTGCAGACCCTGCTGTGTGTCCAGCTGCTGCCGCCCCTCTTGCTCTGGTGGGTCCAGCTGCTGTGGCTCCAGCTGCTGCAGGCCCTSCTGCTGCATCTCCAGCTGCTGCCGCCCCTCCTGTGACTCCTGCTGCTGCCAGACCTGCTGCCGCCTGCGTCCAGTCTGTGGCAATGTCTCCTGCCACACCACCTGCTATCGCCCCACCTGTGTCATCTCCACCTGCCCCCGCCCCATGTGCTGTGCCATCCCTGACTGCTGATCTCTTTCTGGAAAGCCTGTCACAGGGTGGATGCCTTTATTAGACACATAAAATACATGGCCAGCCACTGACGGGGAAAATAAGACTCTTGCCTGCCAACCCTTCCTCTGACAGGCATTCAGAGTTGCATTCAGATCCTTCAGGAAATAACAGATGTAAACACCTTGGGTAAAAGATTTTAACCCAAGCCCCAAATGCATCTATTTTTAGACAAGCAATGCCTTCCACTTAAGTRTACACTAATTGTGATGATCTCACTTAGTGTTGTTTCTGTGTATTCTCAATAAACAGCCAGTTCCTGATATTGAAATCTCCTGGTTTGTTAATGATTTGATTGTGCATGTGTGTTTATGTGTCACTTCACCCCAAGGCCCCATCTTTCTCCAAGTGCAGGAGAGCATACTTAAAAGCAGGGGCTCTTGATTCACCACCTATGTTGGAATCAGGACTGCACTAGATGCTTCTTGTTACAACATGGGAGAAATTATTTTTATCAGATTATTTTTATCAGTTTATTTTTAGTTATACATGACATAGAATCCATTTTGATATAATTATACAAGCACSGAATACACTTTATTCTGAATAGGACCTCATTCTTGTGGATGTACATGATGGTGGGATTCACTGTAGTGTATTCATGTAGCTACGTAGGAAAGTTATGCCATATTCATTCCACTGTCTTTCCTTTTCCTTTCACTCCCCTTTACCTGATCTATCGAACTTCTGTTGCCCACCCTCTTATTGTGGGTTAGCTTCCACATGTCAGAGAAAACATTTGACCTTTACCTTTTGGGAATTGGCTGATTTCACTTAGTGTAATCATCTCYAGATCCATTCAYTTACTGGCAAATGTCACAAAGATTTTCTTTATCCGTTCATCTGTTGAAGGTCACCTAGGTTTGTTCCACATTTTGGCTATTGTGAATTGAGCTGCTGTAAACATTGATGTGGCTGCATCACTGTAGTATGMTGATTTTAAATCCTTTGGATATGTACCAAGGAGTGGGATAGCTGGGTCAAATTGTGGTTCCATTCCTGGYTTTTTGAGGAATCTGGCATAGGAGAACTTATCAACCTTTTTAGGCCTCAAAATTTATTTATCTCTCTGGGAATTAGGAATAACACATTACATTGTTTGAAGGACCTAATTCACGTAACACAGTTAACACAGGCTTGTCACATAATATAGGTTCTCAAAATGATTTTTATTGTTACTGAGATATTACTCTGGGCCAGAACAATATCTTAGCATAGTGTTCTCTTTGACAGAATGGTAGAAAAATGTATAAAACAGTTTTATTGTCCTTTAATTTTAAAATTAAATTTTGTTATATCTTTCAAAGGTCTGTTTTAGACAGCTTTTCTGTTGCTGTGAACAAAAGATTTGACCAGAACAATTTAGAGGAGGAGAAGTTTATGTGTCACAGTCTCAGAGGTCTCAGTCCTTAGACAGCCAACTCCATTGCTCTGTGCATGAGAGAGGCAGAACATCCTGGCAGAAGGGGAAACAGCTCAGCTCATGGCCCCAGGGAGGAGAGAGAAAGAGCTATCGAACTCCCCTCACCAAAACAAAATATAAACCCCAAGTCACACCCTACCTGCCTGGAGTGACAACCCAGCTAATCCCTACCTGGAGATTAAGGCCCTGATTAGGTGAAAACTCTCATAACCCAATCATCCCACTGCTAAACTTTCTTGACTTGTCTCACACATGAGCTTTTAAGGGATACCTAACCTAAACCATAATAATGTCCCTTAAAATTCGATTTGTTGAACATYGTGAAGGCACCTGTGTTTAACCTGACTGAATTATTTCTTCCAGTATGCTCCATGACTAGTATAAATAAATTTCCAGTGCCTTCCCTCCCGCCCTCCATTCCTTCCTTTCTAAATATAAAAGTCTCTTCAGAACACAAAATGTACCTCCTAAATCAAAACTTCTGGAAATTTATGGATTTCATGGCAACTTCCCCATAAACATTTAAAATTTTATTAATAGATGCTCAAAATTTTAGAAGTTCCTGACTGAAATTCCTTCCTCATTTCAGCTTCTTTAGTAATTGAGGTTTCTATATCGTTGTGATCATTTCACTCTCTCGTTTTGGGCTCCCCTCACCTTCTTGGTCTTTGCTCAGAGAACATGGGAAGCCAATGTGGCAGCCTGCATTGCAGGGGGTTATGGGGCTGCAATGAACCTGGGTCAGAGCGTCGGAGCCGCCAGGGTCCTGCTCCCTGTGCTTGCCCCTGTCTCCTGGCATTCTTGAGTTGGAATTCATTCCTCCATGGGAAAAAAACAAATCCTGAAATTTCCAATAGAGAGGAAAAATATGTTACAATGAAGAAGAGCTTGCTCCACGTTCCAGTTCTATGTTGGAAGCATAGTCTACGTTTTACCACAGCCAGCCCAAGTGCCCATGGAATCACCAGCCAGTTTCTGGGGATTTGCATTCAGACATCAGGAAAAGGACTTGGTGTTGCTTTTATCCTGAGGGATAATATTGAAGGACATGCTGTTGAAAAAATTTTTTGACCTGTATAATCCTCAAATCTATAAGATCCAAGTGGTCAACTTAGAGAAATGCCAGTTGGTAGCCTAGRATACTGACAACATGCCCTTCTTGAAAACCGCACTTTAGATTTGAAGATGAAACCGGTGCTATCAGAGCCTCATCAAGAGGGTCTGTTAATGAGCTAAAAGTAAAAATGAGGCCTGTAAGTCCTGGTCCAAACACTGGAYATGACAAGATTTGCAAATTAAAGGAATCATATTTGATCTTTGCTTAACTAAAGAACAAATAAAAGAAAGTCAGAAGTGCAGTCAGCCACTGTTTGAGTTTGMTATGATACGGGAATTTGATACTTCAAAATCTGAAGCTGCAAAATGGGATGAAATTGAAGCATCAAAACATCCCAGTTCTGAGAGTGCATTTGATCACTCACCCAGGATGCACTGGTTCTTAAAGAACTTTTTGAAGCCAGTTTAATCCCATTAAAAAGAAAAAAGTCCTTAAATGAACTCAGCAATTCATTATTTATAATCTTTTTTTTTTAAGAGAGAGTTAGAGAGAGAGAATTTTTAATATTTATTGTTTAGTTCTCGGCGGACACAACATCTTTGTTGGTATGTGGTGCTGAGGATCRAACCCGGGCCGCACGCATGCCAGGCGAGCRCGCTACCGCTTGAGCCACATCCCCAGCCCAGCAATTCATTATTTAATAGCACTTTAAAAATAAAGTTTGCACACCACCAACAACAACAATAAAAAGAGAACATAGACAGGATATTTCTCTTTGAGACTCAGTTTTCTCATCATCAAAACCTTAGGTAAGCATGATCTTTCTTAGCTGGGAAAATGTGTCACAAAATGTACAATAATATCATGTTTATACAAATAAAGGGGTTTATAAGTTTTGGTTTCATAATCCAAAATATGATAAAAACATTTTAAATACAATACTATAATTTTCCATACATTATATATTAGCATAGTTATATTTCCAAGTAACAAGTAAAATCAACCAAGAGTGGATTATTATTTCTAAAATTAAAATAATAATAATAATAAAATTTAAGATGTCAAAAGACAAAACAAATAGAAGCTAGGTTTCACATTAACATAGGTTGGGTGTTACATTATTTGAATATGAAAGACATTTTCAGCTCCACCCTTTCCACTTGTTCTAAATTGTTCTACAGAGGACAGACCTGTCTTCCCATTTACCAGAATTAATAAATCTTTTATCCTTCCTTATGTTCTTCTTTGACAACATCTAATTACAGAATGCAAGCTCTGGTGTTAACATGATGCATTATTAGCTTGAGCTAAATCAAAGAATAGAGGTTTTATGTGTTCTTTTCAGTATCAAAGTATATGAGGCTTATAATTCCCTGTTTTTTTTACGAGAGCAGGAATGAGAAGGAACACTGAATCTATGTGCAAAGGTGTCAATACAGTTAAGGGAAAGCTCAGTAATAACAAGGAGAGTTTATAATAACCAGGAGCAGACCAGAAACCCTATACCATAATTTGGGTGAAGAGTGTGGCATGCAACATACCTTATATCAGTTCACACAGGCATTTAAGTACAGTAATTGCTTTCAGAGAGAGTTAAAGTGATGGTAGAGATGTAAGGGTAGAAAAAAATCAAGGTACAGATAAAGTTATGAATGGAAAAGTGACTGGAGTGATTATTTTATGTCCACATGAACTCTATCTAAATGTATAGTGGGGGTAGATTTTTAACTGAATAAAACTTTGATGAAGTCAGCCCTTCACTCGGTTTTATTTGGTCATGTACTTTTGGAATTGGCTCGAGTCTGTCTAGTACTAAATACTGAGCAATGCAGAATTGCAGAAGGGCAATGAGAGGTGATTTAGTGTAAGAAACAGCTGAAGTGGGAGTCTTAATTTCCCTAAACTCCCATCTAATGTTCCTGTCTGGCCAGGATATAAGAAAGACAGTTCCCGGAGGTTACTGATGGAATCTCAGAGAACAAACAAGGCAGGTCCCGGATGGCTTAGGTTGACCTAATGTATAGGAACTTTACAGGGGAGCCTAAGCCCAGCAAGACTGCTATACCAGTCCAGTCAGATGCAAGTTACAGTTTCAYGGCAAGGAGCTCTGTAGGTATCACTCCAGAAACACACCAAAATACATACGGGAACTTAGTGTRTGGAAAGGTGGCATTTGTAATCATTAGAGAAAAGATGTATTGTTTAATAAATGGTTTGGGGTTATGGTCAGACCCAATTGCAAGCTATTTAAGCCTCATATCTTATACCTGTGTACGTTCCTAATGGAGAAAATATTTAAAAATACAAAGCATCAAACCTTGAAATTGAAAGATATTATGAGACATTGCTTATGTAAGTCTTTTAACTTACATAATATGACACAAACCCCAGAAATCATCCAATCTAACTGCATCAGATGCAACAAGCGGGGAAAGAAAATTTCCTTCACATCTGATTTTGCAGTATAATTGTAGTGATTGG